TTCTTTTCAAAATTTGCATACATAATGATTTTAAATTAAATAAAACTCCAAACTCAAAATTTCCAATTTTAAAATATATGGTAATCAACTATGTGACAATTTTTGGATATTGTGAAGTCCTAATCCTTCCCCACGTGTAATTGACTCTAGAACTTAATTTCTTATTTTGTTGACCAAAACTTGGTATTTTTAGTTAAATAAAAATGTTTTATTAAAATTACTCGATTTTAGGTTTTCAAATCTCACCATAAGAATGATTGGTGATGACTCCTATATTTTTCATCAAAACTCTTTTCCAAAGAATATTTCAAAGAAAATTCCATCATCGTAACTAGTCAACTTTTTCTTGCGAAAGGGCCGGTTGCGAGATTTGACATATACTTGCCAAAAAATCCTTTCACTTGTACAAAAACAAATAAGGAATATTTTTTGAAAGCCCAGTTTTTTCGCATCTCGAATTGGAATTATGTATGAGTAGTTTATTCACATTGAAATCATTGTTTATTACTGTACAAAAATTTCCTAGAAAGTACATGTGTTTTAAAGGTTGATAGGAGTTCTGATATGAAACTCGTAGCAATGGTTCAGATATCATTTCAATGACCCCTATGCTCCAACTTTCGAAAAGAATGAGTATAGGTAAAAACTCGTTCCTATCAGTAGTTTCCACTACTTGAAAATATTTTTTGCTCGGCATAAGGATTCATAAAATTCGTGACTTCGCAAAATGTAGTGAATGAATCCTGACAAGACATTAGAAGTTCTAAACTTAGGAGAATATCAAGATTAGTAGAAGAAGAGGCTTCTCTTTGAAAGTGAAAATGCCAAAAGACACATTTGCATTTTAGGCATACCCAAAGACATTACATTCATGACATTACATACATGTATTCAATTATAGAGATTTTTTGAGTCAATTTTGAGTTCATGATGAAAGATATTGAAATAAAAAACTCGGGATCGACCTAAGTCATAATGGAGGAATCATCCAGAACACATCTTAACTCAATGACGAGGAGCTATATCCCAATCAATTTGGCCTACAGAAGGTTGACGGATCTTTGAGCCAATTTTAACTTCACGGCGAATGATATTAAGCTTGAAAGATGCCCATGATTGACTTTACTAGCAATGGAGTAGTCATCTGTAACATAGCTTAACTCAACGACGATGATCTATATTCTAACCAAAGTCTTCAAGTCAAATTTTAAATTCGTGACAAAGAATATTAGACAAGAATGAGACCTAAATTCAACTACAATTTAGCTTAACTCAATAACGATGAGCTACTTCCCACCCTGGATTTTGAGTTAGATTTCAACTTCATCACAAAGGATTTCAAGTTCGAGTCATACAAGACTGACTTAACTCGCAATGGATGAGTCATGTACAACATAGCTTAACTCAACAACGATGAGCTATTTCCTAATTGGTTCTAAGTTAGATTTCAACTTCACGATGAAGGATATTGGGCTCAAATAACATTTCACTTTGATTTCACTCGTAATGGAGGAGTCATCTACAACATAACGGCTAGGAGATATTTAGAGTTGAATTAACCCATAGAGGATTCACAAGTCTTTTGGACTTAAAGAAAAATCATCTATAACTTTGAGTCAGATTTCAACTTCACGGTGAAGGATATTAGGCTCGAAGAACACCCAATCTTGAATGAAAAAGTATTCACTCGACTTAATCCGCAGAGGAGAGTCACCCAAAATTTGATTAGACTTTTAAGGAAAAGCTAAATGCTTCAACATCATGGGAGCAGGCTTACTTTCAGAATCTATCTATTTTAAAAACCGAATGAAAATGTGTTTGTTTCTATCTTTGTCCTATTTTCGTATAAAGGACAAAGTGGGACAACTATATCACATATTTTTGTCTGGGGTTACTTTAGGAATTTGTGTGTATTTCATATATTATTTATATTTTATATAGCATATATATTATATTTAAGAAATATATATATATATATTATTTTTAAAATATTTATATGTATATAATATATATTATATTAGTACATATATTATTTTAACTTCATGATGAAGGATTTCAAGTTCGAGTTATACAAGACTGACTTAAATCGCAATGGATGAGTCATGTACAACTTATCTTAACTCAACAACGATGAGCTATTTCCTAATTGATTCTAAGTTAGATTTCAACTTCACGATGAAGGATATTGGGCTCAAATAACATTTCACTTTGATTTCACTCGTAATGGAGGAGTCATCTACAACATAACGGCTAGGAGATATTTAGAGTTGAATTAACCCATAGAGGATTCACAAGTATTTTGGACTTAAAGAAAAATCATCTATAACTTTGAGTCAGATTTCAACTTCACGGTGAAGAATATTAGGCTCGAAGAACACCCAATCTTGAATGAACAAGTATTCACTCGACTTAATCCGTAAAGGAGAGTCACCCAAAATTTGATTAGATTTTCAAGGAAAAGCTAAATGCTTCAACATCATGGGAGCAGGCTTACTTTCAGAATCTATCTATTTTAAAACCCGAATGAAAATGTGTTTGTTTCTATCTTTGTCCTATTTTCGTTGCACAATAAAGGACAAAGTGGGACAACTATATCACATATTTTTGTCTGGGGTTACTTTAGGAATTTGTGTGTATTTCATATATTATTTATATTTTATATAGTATATATATTATATTTAAGAAATATATATATATATATATATATATATATATATAATTTTTAAAATATCTATATGTATATAATATATATTATATTAGTACATATATTATTTTAACTTCATGATGAAGGATTTCAAGTTCGAGTTATACAAGACTGACTTAAATCGCAATGGATGAGTCATGTACAACTTATCTTAACTCAACAACGATGAGCTATTTCCTAATTGATTCTAAGTTAGATTTCAACTTCACGATGAAGGATATTGGGCTCAAATAACATTTCACTTTGATTTCACTCGTAATGGAGGAGTCATCTACAACATAACGGCTAGGAGATATTTAGAGTTGAATTAACCCATAGAGGATTCACAAGTCTTTTGGACTTAAAGAAAAATCATCTATAACTTTGAGTCAGATTTCAACTTCACGGTGAAGGATATTAGGCTCGAAGAACACCCAATCTTGAATGAACAAGAATTCACTCGACTTAATCCGTAGAGGAGAGTCACCCAAAATTTGATCAGATTTTCAAGGAAAAGCTAAATGCTTTAACATCATGGGAGCAGGCTTACTTTAAGAATCTATCTATTTTAAAAACCGAATGAAAATGTGTTTGTTTCTATCTTTGTCATATTTTCGTTGCACAATAAAGGACAAAGTGGAATAATTATATCACATATTTTTGTCTGGGGTTACTTTAGGAATTTGTGTGTATTTCATATATTATTTATATTTTATGTAGCATATATATTATATTTAAGAAATATATATATATATATTAGTACATATATTATTTTTTAATATATATATATATTATATTTGAATATATATATATATATAGTATATATTATTTTTTAAAAATATATATATTATATATTATATTTATATATAGTACACATGTTACATTTGGCCATTGAATTTGGCCCTTTGATCCGATAACCAGAAAACATCATAGAGCTCAAAGGTCTGGGATCGAGCAATGAATGACACATGAAGATCATCCGCAGGCGTAAATATCCCCATACGTCTAACCAAAATCCATTTCTATATTTTTTCTGAACGATTTCAGGAAAGAAACATATTTCCAAAACATGCAAGATCAAACCAAATAACACCAAAGGCAGGATCAACCGAAGTCAACAGAGAGCAAAAAGGAAACACTTTCCTCTAAAATGTGACTTCATACTAAAATGGCAACAAAAACAAAAGAATTGTTACACCTCATACCCGGTCTAAGAGTCCAACCCGGGTACCTCATTGTACATTCGGTTTCAATCATGTTGGACAAAATAAAACTCTAAATTATGCAAAATATGCGGAAGCTTACAATTTAAATTTGAATCAGCATGTGACACACGGCAATGTAACCTATTATATAACATGAAATCATGCATTAAAAGAAACGAAACTTAAATATCGCAACAAACAGTTAGGGGTAAAACCATTATTTTAACACATGAAGAATTTAAGGTTAATTTGTCAAATTGAATTTACCAATCCTTAATTTTAATCCTCAATTATCAATACGCAAATTTTCAGGTCATTCAGACACCAAACGAGTACTTAATTAAACATTCAAGTCTGAGGACTAAATCATAATTAATCAAATCTTACGTACGAACAACAACCATGCAATTAATATTTCCATTATGAAATTAAATATATTTTAAGAGTGATAAAATAAGTCCCAACAAATTTCAAATTACCATCTATTCCTAATTAGTAGTTCAGTTTCTGGACCAATCTGAACTCACACAAGCATCTAGGGAACATTCTAACACTAGGGAACACTTCAGACCTTTAATGAATGTAATTCGACCTTTTTTTCATCGGGCTCAACAGCTAAGGTATCAATCCTTTTTTCACGGGGGATCGATCCTTTGCTGGACAATAGGTTTGGGATCGACCCTTTAAGCAAAGGGATCAATCCTTTCCCCCAAGGGATCGATCCTTTTGCTAGAATATTGCAAAATTCTCAAGAACATGCATTTTCAAGTTGCTAAACATCCACATAAAAGTTACTAGAAGCTAGGATCATGCTTGAATTCTATCAAACCACTTCATAAATACCAAAATACATGTGCAACATGCTTAATAACATAAGTCAACACAACATACAAGATTTTGGCATCAAAAGTCAAATATTGCATAATGATCATCTTTAGCACAAGTCACATACTCCAAATTCTGCTTTGGTTATCTCATGTTACCTAAGAGTCTAACAAGTTTGGTTCACTTAGTTACACTTGTCTAGGCACTTCAAACACTTATTTAAGGTTCAAGTCACCATTTGAGCATTCACATGCATCAATTAACCAAGATCATGCATATCAACTCCAAAATAACAAATCAAATCATCGGCAAATCTCCAAACACAAAATCAACACCCATAGAATAAGTGCAATTATTACAAATCAACATAACATCAATTGTCTAAGTCTCAAAATGTCTCCCACATTGCCACCATTTATTTTTCGAAAACCACATACACTTCTCTTGAACTTTTGCCTTGCTTGATCACTTTCGATGCTAGCCCCTCATCTCCGACTCGATTCTATTCCTCTGAAAAATGGTAAACGATGAGTGCGAGCTGAAAAGCCCAATGAATAACAATCATTCTAAGACAATGCATATAGCCAAGATGAAGTAAAGCCCTATATGCACACACCTCACTTGTTTTTACCTCAACAATTGTAAAGTTGTATCATGCTAAAATGATTATCTATCGTGCACTAAATGCACACAACTTCCAAATATTCAGGTGTCATTTGTTCACATAACTCAACATCAACCACAAACACTCATGCATAATTACCTTTTTTGGCAAGGCACACACAATGCGCACATATGTTTCATTAAAAGTTCAGTGGCCATTGTTTAAAACACAACTCCCTCGTTAGATAAACGGACTCCATATGACTCCCATTTTATTTACGAGCTCACACAGGTCCAAACCCACAAAATTACGGAGCAAAGCTAATGCTCAACCTTAGCTCGTGACTTCTCGGAGCATAAATCAACACCCCAACCGAATCTCGTATAACCCGATCACACACAGATATAAAACACATAAAGTACTCTTTTCTAGGCATGATTTTCATATCCAAATGACCCATTAAGAACAAATAGCCAATTAATCCAAGTTCATCAAGAGTGGTTGTCAATGATACATAATTTTTCACATATATCAATTCAAACTCATTTTGAAACAAAATCACAATTGGTTGTCATGATCAACCCACATCATGGTCAGCGAGAATGTTCGACTCGTCCAAACACACATTCACATTATATATAGATTTTCGGAAAGGTTTCAAAATCATATGCTACATTTACAACACATCACATTCACATTTTACATTCTTATCTCCGACATATGTTGCATCACATACAATATAACACAATTCACATTATCAATAGCATCATTAATTGAGTCATAAAATCAGAGTTAAGATCAAGTATCAAACCAGCCTACATTTTCCTTAACCTTGAACACATCTATTCTCAAAGAATGAAAGTCACTCACCTTGTTGTCCAGTAACCGAAAATGCTTCCAAACTCTACTCAAACGCTCACCAAAACACAATGCACAACTCCACCTCAAAATCTAATAGATTGAGCACCTTGAAAAGGAAAATAAAACATCAAAACTAATACTAAAACAAAGTAGAATTTTATGTTTCTAAACAAAGCGAAAACATCAAAATTACCGAAGTCCTTATCAAAACAACTCCTCGTAACCTTCGATCCGATTGGCATCACTTATCCTCAACAAAAGTGATCGACAACACCTAGAATCAATATCTAATCCAACTAGAACCGCACAATTGAACCTCTACAACTCTTAATTCTCCGATTCTCGAAAAATGCCAAAATTAAGCTTGTTTCAATAAATCGATATCCAAATCAAAAGAACATGAAAATTTGTTTTAAAGTGGTAATAATCATCCCAAAAAAATCTCAATTCAATTAAGAAAACCTCATAAACACCTCAAGAAAATAGCTCAATAATTAACTCCGAAAATCAATTTCAACTCATAAAATCCTTTTCAATAGATTGATAAATCAATGAAACCATTAACAAAAAAGCACTTGCCCTCGAAGCATGAAAGAAAACCAAGGAAAGGAGCATTACCTCGTTGTTAAAGATTGAAAAGAGAAGAAATAGATCAACAATGGCACTCCATTATGATCAAGAATAAAATCAACAATGAGGAGAAAAGAGAAACCATTGAGAATTGAAATCAAGTTTAAAGAAAATAGAATTAGGAATCAATGAGAAGAAAAAAGGAAGAAAATGCTCAGCAAAAAGAAAGAAAAATGAAAGAATTTAGGAGAAGCTACAAAACGGTTGAAGAGAAAAAAAAAGTCGCGTGAAATGAAAATCAAAAGTGGAAATGGATTTTAATTAAAAGATGAATCTAGATGGAATTTTAGAAAAAAGGAAAGATTAAAATAAGGTTGATTTAGGAGGGAAAAACTCTAAACACATGCCTTGGTAAAATGAGCTTCATAGATTTTGGATTTGTGATAATTTGCAAAATAGTCACTAAAATCATAATTTCCAAATAATTCAATTTAATTAATAAATCGAAACTCTAATTAAATTCCAAAATAAAAAGTCAATAACCAAAAATCATTTAAGATCCCTCAAAAATATTTCTCAAATAAAAATCCAAAATTTTATTATCAGAAATCTAGAAATCGACCCGAAAATCAACCCAAATTACTGACCAAACTTTGGGACGTTGCAAGAATGCAACCAAAATCATAATTGGAAGGCATCTTTGATTCAAGATAAATCAAAACAAAAATGGCAATGAAATCAAATCGCATCAGAATCGAGAAATAATCCCTTCATCAAGCCCACTAATTTTGGGACGAGGGATTACACATCTTCGATCAAGGGAAAGAATCTCCGCCCCCGTGACTATGTAGACCTTGCAAAGAAGAATGACAGGGGCATCAACTTTCATTCAAAGCCCACAAAAAAAACAACAGAAAAAAAAATTCTTGAAGAGCAAATAAGGGGAGAGGCACTTAGCTTTGGTTATCTTCGCTGCTAGGAGAGAGCAAACAACGTCTAAAAGCTTTAGTTATCTTCGGCTACAATATGGGTTGTGTAAGTGTTTGAATGCTGGATTCAGATTTACGGTTTTGAGAGGAAGCCTTTGGGGCTATTTTTGAGTATCTGACCATCGTGTGTGGTGATCGAAGTGACGATCAACACGACCATCGAGGGACTTTAGTGGTAAGTTTCTGGAAATGGTTGGGGGATTTAAATAATTTTGACAAGGTTTTTTTAGGGAGAGCTTAAATGAAAAAAGAAAGTTGGGCCTTTTATACTGTCATGTTTTGGGCATTTTAAGGGTTATTTATTTCCTCAGTCCCTTTTAATTATTATTTAATTCATTTTGGTCCCTTTTTTTAATTTAGTTACTTAATTTAAATCCTAATTCAATTTAATTACTAATGAGCATCTTAGTTTTATTGCACTTATTTTCTTTTAATTTATTTCAAAAATGGTACATTGATCCTTTTGTTTGTTTTGTAGAATTTATCATTTATTTTATTTTTATTATCATTTTTATTTTTAAGGGATCCTTTTAATCCCGAAACTTCTTCAAAGATAAGCAACTCGGATCAAACTTTTAAATTTTCACTTAAATTTCAAACTTCGTAATTAAGACAACCGATAATCGTGTTGGTACCGAAAGAGCAGTACGAGAGTGTTCAAACTTCATTGTTTGTAACTGACTCATGAATACGATAGTTCTTTGGAAAGACACAAATCCGATAAAAATGGTAAGTTCAAGGTATCTGACCTACCTAACTCAAAAAGGTCGATGACGAGTCCATCATCCAATTCAAGTCGAGACGTAAACCCGGAACCACCCGAATGACCATTGCGACATTATCACAAAAAAAAAACAAGTACATTTTTTCCAAATATGACCCAAACAGCTCATTCATTAAGGATTAAATTATGGCTGGAGCATTCGCTAAACCGAAGTGCATTACTTTAAACTCAAAATGGCCACGGTGAGTTCTGAAGGCTGTCTTTGGAATGTGTTCCTCCCTAATTTAGATCTACCAGTATCCAGTTCTTAGAATAATTTTTTTTTAAAAAAAATTTGTTCCAGCAAGTTCGTCCAATAAATCATCTACCATAGGTATCGGAAATTTATTCTTCACAATGAAATTGTTTAACTGGCTGTAATCCATACACATCCTCCATGTGCCATATTTTTCTTAACCAACCCGCAAGGGGAGACAGAAGGGCTTTTACTTGTTTGTATCATTAAAGCTGCATATCTCCTTGATTTGTTTCTCCACTTCTGCTTTTTGGTGGTAAGGATATCTGTAAGGCCTTAGAATGATAGGTGGTGCATCTGATTTGAGTGATATTGCATGATCATTTGATCTCTTTGGGGGCGGTCCTTTATGTTCATCAAATATTTCTTTAAGTTCTTTCAGCAATGGTTGCAATGCTTCTGAGACCTCAGCTTATGTGGCTTCAGCACTAAGAAAATACAACTCCCCAATTAATTCAGGGTCTTGAGCCAGTTTCTGCATTTTGTCTCTAGAAATCATTTTGACAACCTGAAATTTTCTTCCTCCTTGCAAAATTATGTCAAGCTCTCCCCTTTTAAAATAAAGTATCGTTGCATTGAAGTCCATGGTTATGGGATTGTATTTTTTCATCCAATCAACCCCCGATATCGTGGCACTCCCTTCCATTTAGTGTAATCTAAAACCGTGCTTAAAAATAGTGTCCTTGTGTTTTTCAGCCAAATTTCTTACTTTTTATCGTGCTATGAAGCTTTTCTGCATTAGATACGGTGATAGTTAAGGGATGAGTTTGAACTAACTTCAATCCTTCCTTGGCCTATCCCGTGGTAATAAATCTGTGGGTACTACCAATGTCTACCAATATGCTCAGGTTCCTCCTTTTTATAGTGCCCTGAATTTTGATAGTGCCGTGTCTTATATTGCCAGTAAGGGCATTGATAGAAATCTCCAACTTTTCTTTCTCTTGTTCTTTCTCCTCAACATTTGATGCAGTTATAAGATCAATATTTTTTCCTTTCTCAGCTCCTATCAGGGTTGTATCTTATTCCCCTTCCATCATATTAAGTTGTTTCTTCTTACAAGGGTGACCTGGTTCGAATTTCTCTCCACACCTGAAGTAGAGGTTATGGGCTCTTTTATACTCTAATAGGTTTTGTCTTGGATTGTTTGAAGGATTACTTTTCTAGTAACTGTAGGTGGGTGTTTGAAAAGGTTTTTGGACAAGTGATTGGAATCCAGTAGGGTTTGTTTTGAAGGAGTACTTGTACTTTTTGCTCTCTATTTCCAGTGTCAGTTCACATAACTTAACCTTTTTATATGCATCCGCTAAGCTTATGGGTTCATGCATTCTTACCATATGCTTTATCTCATCCTTCAATCCATTAAAAAAACTGGAGATAAAGTAATCATTCTCTAGGCAAAGACTGTTGCAACACCAATGGCTTCAGGTCATCAAATATTTCTTGATAGTCCTTAACACGGGATTTTCGCAACAATTTATTGAATTCATCAATCACATTTGTGTATATTTTATCACAGAATCTATGATACAAATTTACCACAAATTCATGTTATGAAATCCTACTTTCTACTTGTACCTACCCATAAAAAAATTCAATAATTAATATGTGTCTACCACCCTAAAAAATATTTCTGTCTGCCACTATTATCAAATAGTTGAGAGTGTCCGAAGTGAAGAATATAATAAAAATAATAATTGGCAGATAAAGGGTGGAGGGAAATCGATTATTCCGAAGGTTGTATGGTAGTTTCCATAAAAATGTTTTCTGGGAAACTCCGAGTATGCCACCTTTGGGTCTTTGACTATTCTTCCATTGCATTGCATTGCCTTCCTTTTCTTTTCTTTTGGGTTAACAAAGAGTAGCTTTCTAGCACGCCTAACACCAAGCATATCCACCAATACTACATTCCTTTCCTACAAAAAATATGATTTCTTTATTTAAATTTTCTCATGAATTCACTGATATTATGTATGTCAGCTCATCGTTGTTGAATGTTAAGAAATCACACATCTATGCATACAAACACCTGTTCCAAGATCTTCAAATCACTATCATCTTTTGTTATCATTCTCGTGGTCAATTGCTTTTGTTTCCCCTTCAATTATATCATCTATAATAACAATAATTCAATCTACTCCAGCTTTATGGCGATGTCCTTTTTACTTGTTAGAAATAGTAACTCGAATTCTGTTTTTGCGATGCAATTTATTTGATGAAAAAATTGAGGGAAAGATGAGGATTTGTGATAAACGTGGAGACTCTAAACTAACGGATTTAAGCTCGTAGTTTATTACTGATTGTGTTAAGGGTACGATACAATTTAATCAAATTAAAATTCATGTCCTTTTAAATTATATATAATTAGGATTTTAAGGTTTAATAAATCTCTACAAATTCTTTTCACGTTTATCACCGATATAATAAATTTTTTTATATGTACTTTCTCTCATATAAGGTTGTTCATATAAATTATTCATATGTTATTATTTATGATCTCATTTTCAACGTGGTTTATTGTACAAATGGTAATAATTATAATCCAGTACAGTTGCATCATTGTTGTGATGATATGTGAAAACATTAATCCAAGATGGACCGTTTCTAGTCTCGTTCTTCAAGTAATTGTCCTTAAATTTATTACATTTCCACAAGTCAAACTAGACCGAAATCCATTAGGAAACTTCTATTACTTGGAAGAACTTTTTGTTTGTTTTTCTTAAATCATTCAATTTGACTACCTTCGGATCTATTCTTTTCTCATCCCATCATTTAAGTCCTTTGCCTCTCCTTTTCAATTTTCTCTGCTTCCATTACAAAAGAATGCACTTTCAGATGCTTCAGCCTTTCTTCTGCGGCGCTTTCGACCCTGGTCGAAAGAAACCGAGAGGAAACAGCTTCCCTAAGAAGGAGAAGAAGAACCCGTATTCCGATCATGGCCTCGACAAGTTCTCCGAACTTTTAGCTAAACTCGAAGAGAAGAAACAAAAGATTTACTCGCAAACAGGCTCACAAGATATATCATTGGTTCGTTTCAGGTTTAAAAACTCGACGGATATCGTACCGATCGTGGTGAAGCTCAAAGACAAGAAAGAAGATGGAAACAATAAGAGTCTTGATCGTGACACCACCAATGATCATCACCCTGTAAACAAAGTTGTTGATTCGGAAAACTCAGTCGAAGGGAAACAAGTAATCAAGAAGATACCATTGGGATTGAAATCATTTACCGACCAAAAGAAGAAAGAAGAAAGCTTCTCGTGGAATTTGGAGCTGCATCAATGGAGGCGGCCTTCTTACTACGTACCAACAATCATAGTTTCGATTTTGTTGCTGCTGCTGTTCTTCGGAAGATCGGTTTCGACACTATTTACAAGTATTGCAGTGTACACGGCTCCTGCAATACATGGAAAGAGTTACAGTAAGAAGAAAGTTCATGCGAGAAGGTTGAGTGGAAACAAATGATCACCATTCGGGAAATTTGATCATTTTATCGTCCTTTTTCCCCCCTTCTGGAATTGATTTTTTTTCTTCATGTAAATTGCTTTCATTTCCCCCCCTTGTTTTGGGGTTTATTTTTCGATGGCCATGGGTATTCCAGATGTTTGTTTTTCAACGTAGTATTTTTATTCAAGCCAAGCTGGCCTACGACCTAATTAAACTACAGCTCAAGTCCGGCATAGTCTGTCTAGTCCATGAACATGTTTGGTTTGGTTTGGATTATTGTATAATGCAATCGATTAACAAATTATATATGATTAAATTTATTTGATATGTAAACATTTGTATTATTCAAGAAATTTCTGAAATTAAGGATTTCTTTGAGATTATATATATATATATGCTAAAATGTTAGTCTAAATTATTTTTTTTTGGATAAGTAAAACTGTATTCATCCAAAAAGAAAGCAACCAAGATGCTACAAGTAACATAACAAACAACTAGATCAACCCCCAATCTATGCATAATTACCTATTTACACCATCCAGCCTATTCATGCAACATATATACAACTAAATCCTAACAGCTTCCTTTATTATATTGACAATTGTATCAGCCGAACAAATCAGCCCTCTAAAATGCCTATGATTACGTTCTTCCCAAATGAAATACACAAATCTAGTCCAAGCTAATTTAAGAATATGCACCAAGAGAGATTTACCCTTCAGATTCATGATCATCCAACGAAGAGCATCATCCCAGCAATTCAACTCCTGTTGTAACCCACAAGAGTGCATAACAGCACCCCAAACCTCCCTCGCATAGGAATAATCCAAGAAAAGATGATTTTGAGATTCCACCCCAATACCACACAAACCACATACATTATCAGTCACCATACCAAACCGAGCAAGTCTGTCCTTTGTAGGCAATCCATCAAGAATCGCCATCCAAGAAACTAAGGAAAACTTTGGAACATGAGTCGGAAACCATATAAGGCGATGCCAACTAACCTTCTCCTTCCTTTCCCAAATATTATCCCAAATCTAACCTCCTTTAGTCTGAATCCAATTAGCATAAGAATAGAATAATTGTCTAGCCACCTCTCACATCTTAATCAACTTACTAAGGATTCAGCTAAAATGTGGCCTACATTCAACATTCCAAAAATCCAAAAATTTGAAACAATAGTCTTTAACCCAAGCAAACCACAGTGAGCCTTCTCCAGCCAAAATATTTTTCACAAGCATAAGACAACAAGCTCTACTCAGAACAACAAGATTTCTTAGTCCCAATCCACCCTCAGATTTTAAGGAGCATACCTGACTCCAACTCACCCTATCTCCTCTAGCCGAGGTGTCACTACCCTTCCAAAAGAACTGCATACAGAGTCTCTCAATGTATCTAATAACACCCTTAGGGAGGATAAGTTGCATACTCCAATAGTTAAAAATGCTAAAAAGAACAGTTTTAACGAGCAACAAACGTCCACCAAAACTCAATTTTTTACTGGACTATTGAGTAAGCTTCTCTTTAATCCTCACCAGCAAAGTTGAGTAGTCCTTCCCCGTAAGCTTCCAAGTCACCAAGCGCACCCCAAGATAACTTACAGGTAGTTGTCCCACTCTAAAACCAGTAGCTCTCTGAATTTTCTCAAGATCACCCTCAGACAATCCATAAGCAAAGAGCTCAGTTTTCAAAGCATTCAACCTAAGTCCAAAGAGCTCATAGAATTTTTCTAAAGTACTCACAACCCCCAACACAGAATCAAGAGACCTATGACAAAACATAACCAGGTCATCCATAAAATAAAGATGAGTAAGAGAAACCCTCTTACATTAATGATGAAACCTGAATATACTATTCTTGGCAGCTGCATCCAACAAGGAATAGAGAACATTCATAATAATAACAAATAGGTAAGGAGATAATGAATCTCCTTGGCTAACCCCTCTTGCACCTTTAAAATACCCTACCAAACTTCTATTCAAAGAAACTGAGTACCTAGGTGTAGCAACACAAGCCCTAATCCAGCCACAAAACCCATCAGGTAGACCCATAGCGTCAAGAACAGCCAACAAAAAATCCCAACTTACTGAATCAAAAGCCTTTTGCAAGTCAATTTTTATGGCACACCTAGGAGAAAGACTCTTCCTAGAATAGCCTCTAACAATCTCTTGAGCAACCAAGGTACTATCAACTATGTTTCTACCTTTAACAAATGTTGACTGACTAGCAGAGATCATACCAGGAAAGAAATAAGCTAGCCTAGTGACTAGAATTCTGGTAATTGTTTTATAAACCACTGAGTAGCAAGAAATTGATATAAATTCCTTTACCATACATGCATTCAAGGACTTAGGAACCAAAACAATAGTTGTGGCATTAAAGGCAGACATCAAGGAAGATGACTGAAAGAAGTACCTCACAACAGCCAAGAAATCTTTACTTACAGTTTCCCAAGCAACTTTGAAGAACCAGGAGGTGTACCTATCAGGTCCAGGGCTTTTATCTTTACCTTGCCTAAACAGAGCCTCCTTAATTTCATTATCAGTAACCTCTTCAGTAAGAATATCCTCAGCTCCAATAGGTAAGGAGTAATTTAGAAGAGGCTTTAAACACTCCACAGAGCATTCTTTAACTAAAAGATCAGCAGTGCCAATAAGGTTTGTGAAGAAGTTCACTAACTCAACAGCCATGGAATCAAAAGACTCAAGGTACTACCCATTCTCATATTTGATGACTTTAATAGTGTTTCTCTTCTTATTAGATTCGACTTTCTGCTGAAAGAATCTAGTATTCAAGTCACCCTCTTGAAGCCAATGAATCTTAGCTTTTTGCCTATAAAAATATGATTCAGCTACTTCTAAATCCACCAACTCTGCCTGTATTCTCTTCTCCTCATCCAATCTCTTTTGATCAGCATGTGCAAGACTAAAGAGTTGAATCTGTTCAAGCTAAATCCTCTTACCAGCCACTCTACCAGAAATATCAGAGAAATAACTCTTGTTAAGTTCTTTTAACAAAGGCTTTTTCCTCTTTAACTTACTAAACAAAACTTGCATAGCATTCCCCTCACAATGATCCTGCCAAGATTCCTTAATAATCCTAAAAAATTCTCATTAGAAGTTCACCAATTGAAAAATTTAAAAGACTTTGGTTTATTAACCTTAGCGCCCTTTTGAGTCCAAACAACCCCAGGAAAATGATTAGATACTCCTTGAGCCTTAAATTCAACAAAAGAATTTGGAAAGTCCAGCAACCACTGAGAGTTAATGAGAACCCTATCAAGTTTTTGAGCTAAATAAGAACTCTCTTGCTTATTAGACCAAGTATAAAGAGCTCCAAGGAAAGGATGATCCTGAAGCTTCAAGTCCTTTAAACAACCCTGAAACTCCTCCATATCAGAAGTATTATGCAACTCCAATATATCAAAGTCAGAACTTTCATTAGCTCTACCTATAACATTAAAATCTCCTCCAATCAACCAAGAAAAAGAGCCTATCTCATTCTCCAAATTCTTCTAATGCTCCTATAAACCCCTTCTAATCAGCCAGTTATTTCTTCCATAGATAGCAGTAATCACTGTCATGTGCCCATCAATATCCCCCACAATAGAGAGGGCTTGATCACGACCCCTCAAAACATAAAAAGACAACCTCTTCTTCCACAAAATCCATAATCGACCCCCATCATTAAAATCATAGTTGGTAGTACAATGTCAATAATCAGACAAAACAATAAATGTTTTAGCAAAATTGACCCTTCTAATTCTAGTCTCCTTAAAACAAACTACATCCACTCCTAAATTCTCTAACATTCTTAACACCTTTACCTGCTTTAGAGTATTATTAATCCCTCTAACATTTCAAAAACATACGATCATCAAGTAGGAATAGGAGGAACACCACTGCCAAAACCATAACTTACCTCATTACCTTTAGCCTTCTCAACATGATATTTCTTTTTAGTTTTTATCTCATTAAGCAACACAGCCACTCCCAAAGAGGCTTCATGAGTCTTCCTCAAACCATCAATAGTACCACCCCTACAAGTGCTTTCATCTTACTAGATGAGCCAACATTATCCTTTTTCCTACCCGAACCTTTTTCTTCTAGAGCATGGAGTCTTGCAATGAAAGAAACTCCCCACCAGAACTAGAATTCTCCTGTAATGTTTTAGATGTAGCCTCCTCAATTGCGACTATCTTATCTTTCTGTACATCACCACCAGAGCTAACACCCTTCTGTATCTCCTCCACATCAAACTTCACCTTTTTGGATTCATGTAAGGAATCACCAACACTCTTTAATGTATCCTGTAAAGTGGCACCACTACTCTCTTAAAGAGCCTGCACAGTAGTCTCCTCAGCAATACCAGCCTGAAACCTCGAAACCTCGAAACTACCATTACCTCACCACTGATATTGCTAGTCTTGTCAGTAGGACAAGAAGAACAAACATGCAAATCCTTACCTGAACTTTCCTTTCCAACTAACCTCTCCTTATCATAGAGATCAACAGAACTAGTAGTCTCCTCCTTCCTCCAAACTTGAACTTCCTTATTTTTCAAAAGAACCTTCATTGCCTCAACACACATATTAACATGATGCTCAAAGGTTTTACACAACACAAAACTTTGGTAGCCAAGGAACATACACCTTAATTTTCACTATGGATCCATCCTTTAAAACCACATGAATCACATCAGGAATCACATCACCAGCTTCAATCTCAACACCTACTTTGGCAAACTCAAGCCTCTCCTTCGAAGTAGTAATCGAATCCATATATAATGGATTACCCACAACACTAACAATGTAACAAAGTCCCCTCTTAGAGTAAAGCTCCAGAGGGGCATTGTACAACTGCACCCAAACTGGCATGTATATAAGATCGAAATCCAATTTCTGCAAACAAGGCTCCCATTTACTCAACACAAGTGGCTTATTCTGGATGTGCCAAGGCCCGTTCTCAAGCACCCAATCCCTCAAATTCGCATTAGAAAACAAAAATACATAGAGA